GGAGGACGTCATGCTGGACAATGTGAGTGTCGGCACGCGTTCGTTTTCTGGCTGCGCGGATCACAGTCTGGCGACGCGGTATAGCCTCATCAGCTGAGTGCTTGTTAAAACACCAATGACTGTTCATTTCCAGTGATCATATCCATGTCGGACGGACGGTCTTATCAGGATGTTAGCTGCGGGTTACGCCCCAGTTTTAAGGTTCTCACAGAGCTGCAGTCTGACATGAGCGTAAGATGGAAAGCAATCTTTTATCGCCTGATTTAAAGAAAATAAATCCTTAACATCGGACACGCCAGTTTAGGTGCCCAAAATCTGGATACAAATCAGGTTTCGGGGCGGGAAGTTAAGCTCAGCATTATGGGATGAGCCCCCCCCCCCCCCCGATTTAAAAATGGCCGCTCCTGCTGGCGGCTGCTGGTGGTTAGCGTCCGGTAGGCGGGCTCACAGTCTGTCCGACGCCGGCAGATCCCGCTGACAGTGCCAACGCTGGCCGTGCCGCAGAGCTCGGCGTCGACGACCAGCCCGAGGATGGCCTCTCACGGAGGCTTCCGGCCGATGGTGGGTGGGACGCGACGCCCGGCTGGGGGGGGGGGGGGGCAGAGGCTTCTCCGCTAACAGGAGGTGGGACGGAACATCCGGCTGGGGGGGGGGGGGGCAGAGGCTTCCCCGCTAATAGGAGGTGGGACGCGACGCCCGGCTGGGGGGGGGGGGGCAGAGGCTTCACGCTAATAGGAGGTGGGACGGAACACCCAGAAGGGAGGGGGGAACCGAGGATTCCCGCTAATAGGAGGTGGGACGGAACACCCGGCTGGGAGGGGGGACCGAGGCTTCCCGCTACTAGGAGGTGGGACGCGACACGCGGCTGGGGGGCGGGGGGAGGGGGCTGGGCTGCCCACGTTTGCTTGCTGTTGCTGTTTTGCCGTTGTGCGAGAGGCTGCATGATGTGGTCTTTGTTGTCTTTACTCTCCTGCGTTTATGTGGCGTGTTATTGGAAATGGGAGCGCGGCTGTGGAAACTGACGGAGCCTTGTAGTCGATGGCTGGTGGCCGTGTAGTCTGTGTGCCCTGTGCCCGGAAACTGACGGAGCCTTGTAGTCGATGGCTGGTGGCCGTGTAGTCTGTGTGCCCTGTGCCCGGAAACTGACGGAGCCTTGTAGTCGATGGCTGGTGGCCGTGTAGTCTGTGGGCCCTGTGCCCGGCGCTGGGTGGCGTCGGCCGGTCGTTGTCACGCGCATGCTCGTGCTTGGCAGGATGCTCCTGACGCGTCGGTCATGGGAGTGCCAGGCGAACAAGTGATGGTGAGTCCGAGCTCGCTGCGTGGCCACAGAGGCGCCACGCCCCCAGGGCGCCCCATAACGGCCCCAGTACGTCCCGTAACGTCCCCAGTGCACCCCCGCAACGTCCCCAGTACGCCCCCATAACTTCCCCAGTACACCCCATAACGTCCCCAGCACACCCGTAACGTCCCCAGTACACTCTCACAACGTCCCCAGTGCACGCCCATAACACCCCCAGGGCACCCCATAACGGCCCCAGTGCGTCCCGTAACGTCCCCAGTACACCCATAGCACCCCTAGCACACCCCCGTAATGTCCCCAATACACCCCGTAAGGTCCCCAATGCACCCCACAACGTCCCCAGTACATCCTCATAACGTCCCCAGCACTTTCCCGTAACGTGCTCAGTACTCTCATAACGTCCCCATTGCGCCCCCATAACGTCCCCAGTGCACGCCCATAACGCACCCAGGACACCCCCATAACGTCCCCAGTGTGTGCCCTGCCGTGCCACTATTGAGAGCTGCTGCTGTTGTTGATCGCTTCGCGCAGTATCCACTGCACTGGTGGCCATTTCCTGAAGCGGACACTACGGCTCGTTAGAGCTGTTTTCTTGTTGTTTTGCATGTCCCTGCCAACCACTGTGTTGTAGTTGATACGGCAGGTGACATACGCGCGCTGTTAAAGGGCTAATGGGCTAATGTGACGGGCGAATACACTCTGTTAAAGGGCTGATGTGACGGGCGAATGGGCCAGCAAAGCCAGCGTCGATGGCGTAGCGTGTCGAACACTTGTCAATGACTCGTGAAAGGCTGCGTCAATGCATAGTCATTGTCACTGTCGCCACTTTTGCCATTTTGTATTGTCATTGTTCAGCGGGTAATGTTCATACATTGGCGTTAGCATTGGCATTGCATTGGCATTGGCTGGCTGGGAGTTCCCGTCTGGAGGGTGCGTGGGTGGAGGCGCGTATGTGGGGTTTTCTCGAGGCCGGGCGGGGCGGGGGACGGGGAGAGGCGCAGTGCAGATTATCTAACAGCACTGGTCAAAGCGTATGCAAAGCTTACGCACAAGTGTCCAGATCTGTTTCATGTGGGGATGCGACACCCGCGCCACCTCGGTGTGTCTTCGGCTACGTACATGCACGGCACGTGCGACAGAGAGCATTCGTGAAGTGTTACTGACCCGTGCTTTGTCCTTTTCAGGAAGGGGTTCTGGATGGCGTGAGTACTTTGGGAGGTGGCAGGGGGGGGGGGGGGGGAGGCGGGACCGCCGTTGTGGTCTTCTCCGTCTTGGCACTTGCTGGGAACCTGCTTCTTGTGTCTCACAGTGTCTAATGCCATTGATGGTCATTGATGGTCATTGATTGCCATTGATGGTCAGTGTATTTGGACTGTTGGCCCACTGATGACTCACAGTGTGTAGTATCCAGTCTATTGATGGCCATTTTCTGGCGCGTGTTCCACGGCTGCGGTTATGAGAGTTCTCTTGCGTTGCGTGTGCCTGCCGTCTGCAAGGGCGTGGCCGTCTCGGCACGCTGCCCATGCGCGCACGTTGCACGCTGTAAACGACTCATATCGGAGACGAGTGATTCAGTAAGGCTAGCGTCGATGACGTATGGTCACCGCTTGCCAGCGACTTGTTTAATGCGATGTAGATAGACTCGCGGTCATGTTACTGACCGTCTCCTCCGTTTGCAGATCCTCTCGGGAGCGCAGGTAAGGTCGCATTTTTCCACGGGTGCCCATGGTTCAAGCAGCTGTGATGCAAACGTCTGGTGGTTTCAGTCGGTTTGGTTCAACCCCGTCTGTCCCAGGTACAGACGTGGAGTTAGTGAGCCTTGCATCGATGCCAGGAGTCGGGGGAGTTGATCTGTGGTATAAGTTCGGAGGTCGTTTTACCCGCGTAATGAATGCAAGGTGCCATTATTGTGGCACAACACCTCAGTGACGTCATTTGCAGTCGGGTGATTGGGCTATTGGTGCTCAATGATGTATGGCTGTTGGGTATTCCCACATATAATAAGGATAGTTTGTTAACGATCAATGCTGACATCAGCAGGCTGACGGACGCCGCCTTACGTGTTAGCTCGTACATACATGTTATACATACATGTTAGTTCATACATACATCATACATGTTAGTTTGCCTGTTCAAAGCCGGTGCCAGTAAGATACCAGTGACGTCATTTGTGAATGCTCGCTCTGCCGTTAGCTGCCGGCTGAGCGTCTTCCTCGTTTCAGCTTCAGGAATTTTTGAACGCGCTGCCACCAGGCATCATGGATGACAGCTGTCCCCAGCCACCTCGCCGGAACCACGCCCCCCGCGGCGGTACGCACCTGGGGGAGGGAGGGGGGCACCGCCGGTTGGTTCGTCTTACGTCACAGGGGCGCAAGGTGGCAGTGCATCTCTCAGGGTGTACTGATTGTTGTGTCGGAGGTTCGCTTTTCACATAAGACACACTGTTTCGCCCCCTCGCCATCTCGCTCTGTCGCTCTCTTTCTCCCTCGCTCTCTCGCTCGCTCACTTTCTCTCTCGCTCTTTCTCGCTCTTTCTCGCTCTTTCTCGCTCTCTCGCTCTCTCGCTCACTCACTCGCTCTCTCTCGCGTGCAGTAGATAACCCAAAACGTCCGATGGCGTCGTACTATGCCGTTTCTCCAGCGCGGTTGCGGTGGCCGCTTCGGGTGAAGTTCACACCTTCCTGTCTCAGTGCGTTGTCATGTCACAGTGCGTTGTCAGCACCAGTGTCACAGAGCTTTGCCAGCGCCGGTGGCGCAGTGCGCTTTCAGCACCAGTGTCGTGGGGCTGGTGCGGCCTTTACCCAGTTCAACGTCTGAAAAACGTTGGAACGAGAAAAATAGAAAAAAAGGAAGAAGACACTGCTGGGCGACTTCCATGTCATCGACTCTGTTGCAGTGGTGCGCGGCCTCGGCACGGTGGAGGCCGACTCGGCGCCGGCGGCCGACCAGCTGGCCGAGGAGATGGACAAGCTGCAGTTGCAGCCGGAGGCGGCACCGCTGCCTCGCGCCGCCGACACCAGCCGCCCCGAGGTCAAGGTGGGTGTGGCCCGACCTGAGGTCAGGTGGCGCTGGGCCTGAGGAGCTACAGCAGGTAGCGTCAGTCTCTCGCTTCGGCTGGTCAGCCGGCGTGTCAGCTGTCCGGCAGGCGTCCTCAGCGGGTGCCCCGTGTGCCCAGTCTCTGTGTCTGCGCTCACAGCCGGCGGTCGTGTTTTCAGTTTCTGTGCTCTCAGTGTCCGTGTCACCAACCTGTGTCTGCGCCCACAGCCGTCAGCTGTGGTCTTGGCCTTTCTTTTCTTGTCATCTGTGTTCTCGTTATCCGTGTTTTCAGTATCTATTTTCAATCTCGGTATTCTCAGTCTCTGTTCTTAATGACCGTGTTCTCAGTCCCCGTGGTCTCAGTCTCCTTGTGTTCAGTGTCCGTGTTCTCAGTTTCCGTAGTCTTGGTCTCGGTGTTTTCAGTCGCCGTGTTTTCAGTCTCCATGTTCTCAGTCTCCGTGTTTTCAGTATCCGTATTCTCAGTCTCCGTGTTCTCAGTCTCTGTGTTCTCAGTCTCCGTGTTCTCAGACTCCGAGTTCTCGGTGTCCTCGTCACCAGCCTGTGTCTACGTCCACAGCTGGCCTACACCAACGCCAACAGTCTGTACCTGTTCGCGGCGACCGGAGAAGAGAACTTCCTTCTGGAGAACTACCGTTGTCCTGGTCGGCATGGAGAACCTGGACGGCGACAAGTGAGTGAACCTTGACACGACGCCCTGACACAGACATTAGCCGAGGGGTTAGCGTGTCGGACTCCCACGTAGAGGGCGTAAGTTCTCATCCCGTTTGGGCCATGGCCCCTGGCGGCTGACATGTGACATGCAGCCGCTGTTGTTCGAGAACAGGGACGTGGTGCGTGCGGCGTGCGCCCTTTTATAAAAGAGATTCGACTGTGGCATGGCCCCCACACGCATGACTCGACTATTGCATGTCTGTCATGGACGTGACGGGGCGGTGGAGAGGGTGTGTGGACGTGACGGGAAGTGGAGAGGGTGTGTGGACGTGACGGGAAGTGGAGAGGGTGTGTGGACGTGACGGGAAGTGGAGAGGGTGTGTGGACGTGAGGGGGCGGCAGGGGGGGGGGGGGGGTTGACGTGACGGACGGTGGAGGGGTGTGTTGGCGTCAGTGAGCTGCGTGGATAACGATGCTCTACGGGAACTGAGAGTGTGCGCGCTATGGAGAGCAGTATTCCTCAGCCTGGTGTTGGGTAGCATGGGCGCTACCGTGAAAACCTGTATCCATCGAGGGTTGTTGAGAGCATGTGTGGACATTGGTAGAACTGCATAGGCGTATGTTCATGAAGAGAGAGCCTGAGGGGCCATTCTCCGCTCCCACGTCTTACCAACGCCTACGACAAACTCTCGTTACGACCGTGGCGAGCATTGGCGTCCACTTGAGATTTCACCACTCTTTTTCTGGGACAAACCAACGTACCTCCGCGAGGCTGTGCTGCTTTGCCGTCCATGTGGTGTCGTATCCCCCGTGAGCGGCTGGATGGCAGACGCCGTCGCTGCCCGCAACTGACACGGCCCACCTCACCCAGCGTGCTGCACGTGGCGGCCATGTTCCGCCGGTCGAAGGCCATGGCCAGCCTCCTGGAGGCCATATCGGGGGTGCCTCCTGAGCTGCGAGCCGCCATGATCAACAGTCCCAACGCCGACCGCCAGGTGGGTCATAGTTCTCACGTGGGCCGCCAGGTGGGTCATAGTTCTCATGTGGGCCACCAGGTAGGTCAGAGTTCTTACGTGGGCTGCGGGGTGTGTCATAGTTCTCACGTGGGCCGTCAGGTGGGTCATAGTTCTCATGTGGGCCACCAGGTAGGTCAGAGTTCTTACGTGGGCTGCGGGGGTGGTCAGTTCTCACGTGGGCCGTCAGGTGGGTCATAGTTCTTACATGGGCCGCGGGGTGGGTCATAGTTCTTACATGGGCCGCGGGGTGGGTCATAGTTCTTACATGGGCCGCCAGGTGGGTCATAGTTCTCACGTGGTCCGCGGGGTGTGTCACACGCCCACTGCGGGATATTTGGTGGGTCACAGCTCTACCGCTTAGCCTATTGCAGTGCTCCATTTCCCTATTGCAAGTCGGGGAACTGTTATCATCTTGACATATGATGTATGTATGTATAAAATCACGACAGTTCGGGCCAATATCGCCCTGCGTCTGGCACCAATGTGCCATGTCAGTTCTATTACGGCAGCGCCGCCGTATGCCGGCCGGTTCTCTGTGACCACGTGAGCACACGTCACCAGCGGGACTCGGCTGACCTCCGGCCCGGCCGTTCTCGCAGACGCCGCTGCACGTGGCCACGCTGGCCGGCGATGCCGCCTGTGCGGGCCTGCTCCTGGAGGCCGGCGCCCAGAGCCACCTGGTGGACCGGGCTGGAAACACGGCCCTCCACCTGGCGGCTCAGGTGGGCAGCGCTCCCGTGCTGCGCCTGCTGCTGCAGCGGCTGGGGGCCGACGGCAGCGCGCAGCGCATCCTGCAGCAGACCAATTACCAGGGTAGGTGGCTGGCTAGCATACTGCAGCAGACAAACTACCAGGGTAGGTGGCAGACTAGCATACTGCAGCAGACCAATTACCAGGGTAGGTGGCAGGCTAGCATACTGCAGCAGACCAACTACCAGGGTAGGTGGCAGGCTAGCATACTGCAGCAGACCAACTACTAGGGTAGGTGGCAGGCTAGCATACTGCAGCAGACCAATTACCAGGGTAGGTGGCAGGCTAGCATACTGCAGCAGACAAACTACCAGGGTAGGTGGCAGGCTAGCATACTGCAGCAGACCAATTACCAGGGTAGGTGGCAGGCTAGCATACTGCAGCAGACCAACTACCAGGGTAGGTGGCAGGCTAGCATACTGCAGCAGACCAACTACCAGGGTAGGTGGCAGGCTAGCATACTGCAGCAGACCAACTACTAGGGTAGGTGGCAGGCTAGCATACTGCAGCAGACCAATTACCAGGGTAGGTGGCAGGCTAGCATACTGCAGCAGATCAATCACCGGGGTAGGTGGCTGGCTGCGGGCTGTGTCAGCTCTGTGGTATGAGATGAAGCTGGGGCTGGGAGCCCGGCGCCAGCGGCCTGGCGCTGGCGGCCGCGCTGGTCCCTGCCGTTCCGGTGATATGGTTGGTGCTCTTGGCCGGGTCGTCCTATCGGACCCAGGCCTGCTGAAGCCATTGTTCTGTTGTTGACTGATCTGACTTCATCTGACCTGAGTTGACCTCCTCTGACCTGAGTTAACCCCGTCTGACCTGATTAACGTCTGACCTGAGTTAACGTCAGATGACCTCAAATGGTCTGAGCTGCCCTGAGATAACCTTAGTTGACCTCAGGTGATCAAAGGTAACCTCAGCTGACCTGCGCTGACCTCAGGTGACCACAGCTGACCTGAGCTGACTTCAGGTAACTTCAGATGACCTGAGCGGACCTCAGGTGACCTCAGCTGATCTGAGGCGACCTCAGCTGACCTCAGCTGACCTGAGCGGACCTCATTTGACCGAAGCTGACCTCAGGTGACCTCAGATGATTTGAGCAGACTCAGGTGACCTCAGCTAACCTGAGCGGACCTCATTTGACCGAAGCTGACCTCAGGTGACCTCAGGTGACCCGAGCAGACTCAGGTGACCTCAGCTAACCTGAGCGGCTGGCCGGCAGGTCTGAGCCCGCTGCACGTGGCCGTACAGGCCGGCCGGGCGGAGTCGGTGCGGCTGCTCTGCCAGGACGGCGCCGACGTGGCCGCCCCCGACGACACCGAGGGTCGCTCGCCACTGCACATGGCCGTGGAGGCGCGCAACCCGGACATGTGCCGCCTGCTGCTGGACAGGGTAGGCGGCCGGCGCGGCGCGGCTCCGTCGCACTAGCTGACGCAGCGTCCACGCAGCGCCGCTCGTGGTGGTCACGGTGTCACTGTCGATGATGTTGATGGTGGTGATGCGCTTGGCGATGCTGCTGATTGACGAGGCGCCAGGTGTCCGCTGGCTGGGCTGGCTATCCGTCCTGGGCTGGCAGCTGGCAGATGGTGAATGTTTGTGCGTGCTCTGTTGCCGCAAATCACATCGTACACGTGCGTTGCTTTTTCGGCGTGCGCATATGGTGTGTTGTCTAATGCTGTTTGTGTTCCATCCTGAGATATTCGTATACTGGCGCTGCACCACGTGCCATCGCCCGTGACCCTTGGCCAACGCTCTGACCCTGCGGTCCTCACCCCGCCCCTGATCCCGTGACTCTTCGCCCCGACCTTTTCACCCGTGACCCCTGGCCCTCCTCTGACCCGTCGACCCCGCCGGCAGGGCGCCGCCGTTGACGCGCTGACCTTCGCTGACGTCACGCCGCTGCACATCGCCTGCAAGCTGGGCGACCGCCGCCTGGTGGCGCTCCTGATAAGCGCCGGTGCCGACCCACGCCGCCAGAGCGTGGAGCGCCAGATCCCGGCCGGCTCGGGCACGGAGAGCGAGGAGGACGAGGCAGGCGAGAGGGAGACCGACGAGGCGGAGGAGAGCGCGCCGCGGCTGGACGCCTTCCTCTACGCCGAGATGGCCGGAGACTCGCAGGTTCGGCCGCCTTGGTGTCAGCCCTCGCTCTGTGGCTCTGGGAAGATGTGTGCCCACAGCCTGGGGTGGTGCGTGACCGTGACCGTGACTACGAATGTCTGACGAACCGTCGCTCTACCGTGACCGTGACTACGAATGTCTGCCTAACCGTCGCTTGACCGTGACTGTGACCGTGACCTGTGCGTGACCGAGTCACGTGACTGCGGGTGTGGCCGTTTTTCATGGCGGACTCGCTCACATCTTGCTGTGGCGTTGTTCTCGAAAACGAAACGCGACCGTGGCGTCGCTGGTGACAATTAGCCGGCTGCTGGCCGGCCGCTCACGGGGCCGCCGTCTCGGCTCCGCTGCTGACGGCTCCGCTCGGCTCCGCTCGCCAGCTGGAGCAGATCCTGCTCGGGAGAGTGCGCGCCGCGAGCCCGGAGGTCGAGGCCGCCGCCGCCGCCGCGCCCGTCGCCGCCGCCGCCGCCGCGGTGCCGGCGGCCGTGGCCAAGAAGGGCGCCATGGACAGCGGCATGGACTCGGGCCTGGGCATCACGCAGGAGCTCACCTCCGCCTCGGACGTGGCGCCAGCGGCCGAGCCGCACCCCCGCTCCCCAGGTGCGTCCTCTTCCCCTCCCCCCCCCCCCCCCTCCCCCGTCCGGAGGGTACGGGGAGGCGGGTCAGGACGGGCTCCATTGTGTGGATAGACCTCGCCGGGAGGACGACGGTATTGGCGGACCGATCCGCGGCTTTTCTCCTCGCTGAGGTGCGTTCCCTGTTTGAATTCTGCCCTGCCTTGAAACTGACACACCCGGTACCGTGTGCCGTGCTCCCTTCTCACCGACACATGTTCCCCTGTGCCAATGGCAGTGATGCAGCCCCCATGCTGTGCTGTGCTGTGCTGTGCTGCCCCGCTGGCACATGTCCCCTTGGCGTGTCTACCCCGCTGGGAGCCGTCCCCGTGGCGTGTCTACCCCGCTGGGAGCCGTCCCCTTGGCGTGTCTACCCCGCTGGTACCCGTCCCCGTGGCGTGTCTACCCCGCTGGTACCCGTCCCCGTGGCGTGTCTACCCCGCTGGGAGCCGTCCCCGTGGCGTGTCTACCCCGCTGGCACCCGTCCCCGTGGCGTGTCTACCCCGCTGGTACCCGTCCCCGTGGCGTGTCTACCCCGCCGGTACCCGTCCCCGTGGCGTGTCTACCCCGCTGGGAGCCGTCCCCGTGGCGTGTCTACCCCGCTGGGAGCCGTCCCCGTGGCGTGTCTACCCCGCTGGGAGCCGTCCCCGTGACGTGTCTACCCCGCTGGGAGCCGTCCCCGTGGCGTGTCTACCCCGCTGGTACCCGTCCCCGTGGCGTGTCTACCCCGCTGGGAGCCGTCCCCGTGGCGTGTCTACCCCGCTGGGAGCCGTCCCCGTGGCGTGTCTACCCCGCTGGGAGCCGTCCCCGTGGCGTGTCTACCCCGCTGGGAGCCGTCCCCGTGGCGTGTCTACCCCGCTGGGAGCCGTCCCCGTGGCGTGTCTACCCCGCTGGGAGCCGTCCCCGTGGCGTGTCTACCCCGCTGGGAGCCGTCCCCGTGGCGTGTCTACCCCGCTGGCACCTGTCCCCGTGGCGTGTCTACCCCGCCGGTACCCGTCCCCGTGGCGTGTCTACCCCGCTGGGAGCCGTCCCCGTGGCGTGTCTGCCCCGCTGGGAGCCGTCCCCGTGGCGTGTCTACCCCGCTGGGAGCCGTCCCCGTGGCGTGTCTACCCCGCTGGGAGCCGTCCCCGTGGCGTGTCTGCCCCGCTGACCGCGGTGTGCCGCCGTTTTATGTCCACCTTACATCATTGGTTGCCCCCGTGTTATGCCGGTAGCTCTGTGGTTTCTGCGCCGTGGTGACCTCGCGGGAGGTAACATTGCCCCTGCGCCAGGTCTGTCCCTGCTAACATCCCTGTTGCCCCTCCGTCATGGCCACTCCTACCCTCACTCACTGACAGCCATGTCGTCCATGTGTAGTCTCACTGACTGATCGGTTACTCCGTGCCATGTCTCGTGCCACTGGCAGCTCCGTTGCCATTGTCGCATGTGCCCTGCTGGTGGCTGTGTTGCCCCCGTGTCATGTGTGTCCCCGCCGGTGGCCGGGTTGCCCCTGACATCGCCGGCGGCGCAGGCTGCCTGCCGGAGTCTGCCGAGCGCCGGCTGGTCGCCATTCTGGACGGACCGGACAAGGCGTGGCGCGAGCTGGCCCAGGTGCTCGAGCTAGACGTCTCGGCGCTGGAGCAGCGGGCCAGCCCCACCGCCCATATACTGCGCTGCGTGAAGGTCAGTGTGACTTCGTGTGTCCTGTGAAAACTGTGAGCGTGTTGTTTTGTGTGTGTGTGTGTGTGTGTGTGTGTGTGTGTGTGTGTGTGTGTGTGTGTGTGTGTGTGTGTGTGTGTGTGTGTGTGTGTGTGTGTGAAATGCAGTCATTTAGAATGACTTGGAATCATCAGACTGTGATCGATTTGGATTTCGTTTTTTTATAAGATGTGCAGTCTGTGAGATCGCGCTGGATTATGTGGCGCTAAGTGATCGAGCTGTCAATAATTCAGCACACAGTCATCTGTAACAATTCGCCAGAGGCGCTACTCCACGTGGGTCCTGCGTCATGAGTCGGTCAGTGACGGTTTACAAGTTTGATCGTTTTAAAGTTGGCGTGTGCAAGCATGAGAGCATAATAGGTTTTCAGACTATTCAGGAGTAGGATTGATCGATGCTGCTAAAAAGTGTGTGGTGCGGATCGTTTCACTGGTTGTTTGACAGTCTGTGATCATAGCATAGTCTGACGTCATCGCATGGTCTGACGTCAGGCGCGTTCGGTCGTGTTGCAGAAGTACGACAACCTGTCGTTGGAGTACCTGGCCAAGGTGCTGCAGATCCTGGGGCAAGACGAGGCGCACCGCATCGTGCGCGATCATGCCGGCCAGTAGTCGCCGACGACTTCACGTCCTATTGGCCGGCGGACGACCGCGGCGCGCGATTGGTGCATGGACGTGACGTCAGCAGCGCGTGAGCGGCTTCATTGGCAGACGCATGCGGCCGGCGCGCATGATTGGACGTGTGATGTGAGGTCTGAGGTTGCGTCACGCCGCCAGCTGTTTCGTGACGCGCTGGATTGGACCCGATGTCTGTGGCTCCGCCCACCGGCTGGCACTGGGAGGTGCGCACGTGAGCGAAGCTCTGTGGTCGACGTGGCGGGACTGGGTAGTTTGTGATTGAGGGGGAGATGGTCGTGTCCACACCCCCCCCCCCCCCCTGACGGCGAGGCGCCCCGTGACCTATTGATGTGACAGCAGCCCGACCGGGCCCGTTCAAGTTAAAATCAAACGTTTAGTTAAGGCGTGTTCGTGCGTGTTTAGTTTAAGAAACGTAGTTGGTCATGTCGCGGCAGACGCCGCGGGCTCCGCCTCCCACTCGCCGCCGCCGGTCGCCGAGGCCCGCCTCGGCTCTCGTGCTGCGGCTGACGTGTCCGAAGTCAAGCCGCCGTATCGCATCGCCGAACGCGGTGGCTCGTTGCTGCCGCCGCCAGAGGTCGCGCTCCCGCCGGGCCGTCGCTGCGCTTGGGTGGCGGGATGGGGCTCTGGCTTTGGCGCTGAACGCTGCGGCAGTAGAGCGAGGCTGGCGCCGCGGCACCTCCAGGGAAGAGAGGAGGAGAAGGAGAAGGAGAAGGAGAGGGGGGAGGGGGGGGGGGCGGCGGCCGTTCATCGCTCGACGTTTCTCCGGCTCCCACTGGGTAGCTGACGGCCCTGAATGCCGAGTATCCACTTTAAAAAAAAATCCCGACGGAGGTTTTCACCACTTGTCGGTCCTGGCTCTTGTTGGCAGTCTAAACCGGTTACGTTTGTTAATTTGCACGTGTTCGTCGGCATTTTTCAGGTTATGGCGATCGTGAGCTCTGTTGGCGTTTTAGCGGAGTGACTCGTGTCGTCGTAGCCGTCCGTCCGCCCATGGCTGCGCCTCTGCACAGCCCTGTGTCGCGCGGATAAATGTAGTTGTGGAGAAGTGCGCCGACCTCGGCCGGTCTCTCGGACGGTGCCGAGATGTGACCGCCTTCGCTTTTGTCCTCGTGTGAACGGCCGTTTTCCATCGATGATAGTTGTCCCATTGTCACATTGGTGTTTGCAGACTGTGCTTTATTTGGCTCGGGGGGGGGGGGCGGTTTGGCTAGCGCCGTTTATTTTCTCAAACACCTCCGGCGGAACAGTGCGGTTGAGTCCACAATCTTACGAAAACAACCTGAAAACATACACCTTTTATCCCATAGGCCAGCAGAATACCGGGAACTGTAGAATGTCTACCAAAATTGCGGGTCACAGCGGCAGCTGAGCGCTTGTGCAGCCGAGCGCACCTCGTCGCTGTGCAACGCCGCTAGGTCCTTAGGTGGCGTCACCTGTCCCGCGGGCTGGCAGTGCTCGATGGAGCCGACCGGCGCCACCATCGAGCCACTCGGACTCCGGCGCAAAATCCTGACGGCGGGTGCTCTAACGGGAGAGAAACGGATCCGCGCCGCCGGCCGGCTGACGGCGCCGGCGCTCAGACGCAGAAGCGCTGACGGCTCAGACGCCAGAGGCGCTGACGGCTCAGAGGCCGAACCACGCGGTGGTGGTGTTGCCAGTTCTGACGGGTTCGCTTCGCGTGGTAGACCAGCCCCCAGCGACGGGGCGGGATGCGCACGGCGAAGCGCTACTGTTGTCACGCGCGCGTCTCGTTCGTCGCCGCGGCCCGGGCGGGGCTGGTGGAGCAGCGCTGTGAGTGTTTGCAAGTGCGCGTGATGAGTAGGTTTAGTGTTGGCCGTCGGTGGCCCGGCCGCGGCTGCGCCGGCCACCTAAGGTCTCGTCGTGCCGCGTGTGCCGTTGGACACGTGACGACCTGTGGCGCGCCCGTATCGGCTAATACACGTTCTCGTACACGAATCTGTTCTCACCGGAGTGAAGCACACGCCTTCGCTCATCGCGGGCCTCGTCACGGCACGTTCTCGTACACGAGCCCGTTCTCGCCGGAGTGAGGCACACGGTCGCGTTCATCGCTAGCCGCATCAAGCGAGGACACGGCGTAATGAGACCAAAGCATGAGGCAAAGCGCCGATCATGGGAATGATTCAATCGTGTAACGCTAGTCTGATGACACCTTTGACGGCACCATGTGAGCACCTTTCCCACGCCGATTGTTCTGTGCTGATCACACCGCTCGCCGAAGTGAATGAAATCCCCTGGGGTGACCTGTCAGACTTCCCCTAAGGCTATAGCTCACTCGACGTTAGTCTGATAAAAGGAGCAATTTCAGAGCTCTACTTGAGGTATAAGCTTTCTCTTGATCATGTGCCCGCTGAAATATTGATCTAGCTTGCGAGTTATCTGGCAGATGCGATTATTTACGTGTAGGCATCGCGTAACAACATCAAGTTCCAACCTGACGTAAAGTTCCAAAGCCTCTCCGGGCGCGCGCGCTCTCCTTCACAATAGTCTGCCCGGTCGCGATGCATGGCAACCACCGCTCATCAGCTGCGCCGTCATCCTGCCGTGCCCCCAGAGCCCCGATCTCCGGCATCGGCTGCCGGGCCCTCAGAGCCCCGATCTCAAGTACAGCGAGCCACCGACAGCACACTCCGTGTGAGCACTCCGTGTGACTGTCTTCTGGAAAGTCCCACGGAAAAACGCTTGTGATGACGTCGGGGGATAAGTAAAAAGGGTCACAGCCAGGGAGTTTAACGCATAAAACAAACCGCACAACACGTAAAACACTACCAAAAACAAATGCTGGCAACGCGGGCTGCGTTGAGCTTTCGACAAAAAAGTTTGTGATGGTTATACCGTTCTAACTTTTGGACAAAGGGAAGGCGATCGGCATGACAGAAGAGCCCAAAGAACGGTTCTCCAGATGTGTCGGTAAAAAGCGCGCAGGCACACCATATGTAGCTCTCCGGCAGATCGTTCACCCATGACAGTCCAAGAGCTATCTGGAAGTTCAAGCGCGGCTAAGTAAGACTCTCAAGCGCGGCTAAGTGAGACGTTCAAGCGCGGCTAAGTGTCTCGGGCGCGGCTAAGTGAGACACAAGCGCGGCTAAGGGTCTCGAGCGCAGATAAGGTTCTCAACCGCGGCCAAGTGCCCTTAGAAACAACTCGAGCCGATGCTCCTCGCAGTTGTGCTCCGACAGCAGGTTTCCTGGACCCGCCCCTGCAGTCGGGCGCCAGGACCGGTCGAATGGCATCACGCTCCACGAGGCCGCGCCTGCCTCGTGCGGTGCGAAGCCTTTGCACGGGGATTCACTCATGCATCGAATTGAACCCATGGCTTGTCGCACTCAGCCTTGTTACCGACTTTGGCTTGAGTCAGAGTCAAGCCTGCAGTCAGCTAGAATCTGGTACGTGGCCGAAGAAAGCTTAGATACATGGATGCGCACGTATTTTGGGGTTCCCGCAAAGGTGGCACTCTGTGCAACAAGATTTGGTGATCTTCTTGACAATTATGAGGTAAAGGTGCGCCTTAAGACAGGGGCAGGGCAACAGGGGGAGGAGGCAGAGGGGGCAGTTGCCTCTCCCCTGTCGGCGGGCGGCGGACAAGAGTGTGCTTTTCTCCCTTCAGCGTTTTTGGGAGGCTCTGTATCCCCTAACAAAGAACGCTTTAGCTGTCGGTGGATTACCAAAATTCAGATAAACGAGGCCCCATAACTGAGCTAGAGAGTAATAATCGGGTTAAAAATATTATTTCCTACATGAAGAAGCGCTTTGTTTGTGTCAAGGGGCCTCCTTTATGAAGGAGGTGTCCCATACCCTAGATCAGCAGGCCTAATGGTGTGTCAAGGAGGCACCTCGATGAATGAGGTGGCCCATACTATAGACCAGTAGGCCCAATGGTGTGTCAGGGAGGCACCTCCATGAATGAGGTGGCCCATACTATAGATCAGTAGGCCCAATGGTGTGTCAGGGAGGCATCTCCATGAATGAGGTGGCCTATACTGTAGATCAGTTGGCCCAGTGGTGTGTCAGGGAGGTCCCTTTGCTGGCTGGGGATGCACCGTACATGAAGAAGGGGCCCATGTTCTGGGTTATGAGGAGCTCTTTATGTTCAGGATTCCTGACTTATGGAGCAGGAAGTCCCTTTTCGTGTGTCAGATGGCCGCAAATCCGGATCAGAATGCTCGGTCCTGAGATAACGATGCCGCTTGGCTGGATTTGCGGACCCCTTGGTGGATGGGATAATTCCTGTTCTGGATTAAGCGGCCCTTATATGCGTCATGGGAGCCTTTCCGGAACAAGAGGTCCTGTTTTAGGGAAGCAAGACAATGGGCTAGATCATCAGAAAGCTCTTATTCTGATTTTGTTTGTCGACATTTATATATTCGGATATAAGGCGCATCACGCCCTCGCTGCCCCTGCCCTCGAGCGCGACACTGTCCAGGAGGCTCCTTGTGAGGAGGCCTCATTCCGTTCAGGAGACTCCATGTGAGGAGGCCCCATTTCGTTTAGGAGGCCCCCTGAAAAAATCCCGCCTCGACAGCTCAACATCCGTCCCTGATGCCGTCCCTGCCAGAAGGTCACTTTGTTCGTGACCGCTGACGCTCGCGCGCCTGCAGGCAGCGAGTTCCATTCGCTAGACGTGCAAAACACAACGCGAAGGAAGGACTGCGAATATAAACAGCGCTGTGGTGATCCCCCTCCCCACCCTGCTTCCTTAGATGGCATACGTGAGTATATTTGGAGCAGTATCGTCCGACCCGAGCTAAGCAGCCCCTCAGCAGTGCTTCGAGAAGGACATTTACTAAAAGCGTGTCGAGTGTTAAGCTATCTGTTTGCAATAACCGTCTTGCGGGAAAACCTGTGTGACAAGGTTAATTTTGAATTTTTTGGCAACAACATCGACTGATGACATGCAAGAGCTCCCTTGCCTCCAATGCACCGTGGTTCTTGCAAAAATATGCACCCACACAGCTGAACAAATGAGGAAATTCAATATGGGCTATTAGCAATCATTAACTCGAAAAGGTCTTATCTTAATATATCTTAATATCTAACCTTACACGAACTCGGAGCTTTATGTACACAGTTAAATCAGATGTGAAATAAAACTGGGCTTGAAGGCAGTAATTTTCTTGCACCACACCGTGCATCCCATAAATATGGCCTCTTGCCTAGATTTAGAATGCTTCAAAGATCTTCCAAGGTGCAACGGCTTCTAAGGCTTCTGGTGAGCATTTGTGGATTTTGCAGTTTTGAAAAGCGTAAGGGCATCGTCGTTCTGGTGGTACCGCAAATCATGGGGAAAATATGCCCTTTTTCTGCGTGCCGCGTCGCACACTGCACATGCAAACATACCCCCTTGATTTAACATGAACAATACAAACTTAGCAAGTTGCCAACAATCGTCAAAGTGGTAAACGAGAACGGGGCTTCTATGTCGACAACTCGAGGTCGTAGCAAAACAAAATCAGCGCGCGGTATTGAAGGTTTCTGCCTCCGTTTGCTGAGCAAGACATGGTTTACGGTTATCATGTCGTTATGTGGCATATAACGAAACTATATCGACATGTTAGGAGAGTCGAGCCCTGCTTAGTTTTTGATAAGCCAGCGAATGAGCATGGCATTTTGCACAGATGAAAACGGAAAAGTTGGTGGCGACGGACGTATTGGCCGATTGCGACCAGAGTATTGTGACATTATCACGTTATTTGGATGAACATGGGACACAGTGAGCTGGGATTTACGCGTGTCAATCTTACAACTCCAGCTTGCTCGGCTTATGCTGCAAGGTACATTCCAAAATGTTTTAGAGAACGCCACATTTGTCACCTCCAGGACGATTGCTGGCGTCGCTATGTGTCTGACGGTGTTGGGTTTTGATTTCTGAGGTTTGCGACTGCTCGCGTTCATTAATTTCTTACGTAATTTTCGTCGCTGCTCTATTCTAAATGTGGGTTGAACATCCCTAAACGGACACGAGTTGGACATGTCTATACAGAATGTTGGGCCCATTTCGTTGCATAATGTGCGTTCACGGATTCTCAATATATACGCAGGGCTCATCAAAATTCTGATCAGGTTCACAAGCGTTATCAGCTTAGAAATAATTCACTAAACCATTGCAAAGTGAAGAGCGCCGGTGGCTTATTCGGTGCAGTCACTGATCGCCTGGCTTCCTCAGTTCATTTACTTCAGAATACAAACAGAATTGCATCTTTCGGTGGCTTCTGACTGCTGCTGAGATCTTCAAATGTGCAACGAATAATAAAACGAAGTAAGAAATGTCTCTCGAATTCGACTGGGGCACATCCAGCGATGTCTTCAGCGGGGGTGAGGGGTGGGCGGGAAGAGTGGGGGCATTTCACCACCAGCGGGCCTTTGTCAACCCTGCCTCCCCCCCCCCCCCCTCCATAAGCAAGACTCTGGCTGCGTACCTGTGACAGAGTGATTTGCAGGCAATACATGCGCCTGCACGGTGCGGCTGGTCTCAGGTCGTTATCTGCACGGTGCGGCTGGTTTCAGGTCGTTATCTGCACGGTGCGGCTGGTTTCAGGTCGTTATCTGCTCGGGTCACTGAGACGCGACATCAGTCCTGAAAAAAACTCCCAGACTGCAGAATTTCCCATTAGCGCATGAGTGCACGTACACCTCACCGCGCGTCGACTGACACCTTTGCGTGCCCAAGTATTCGTTCCAAATATCCCGAGTATCCGTTCTGTTCTGCGTAAAAATGTGTGGGTGCGGCTTCACTGAGAGTTTTTTTTTTGCGCACAGTTTCCCGCCAAGCGTCTCGGCGGCTTTCGTTTGCAAGAGTTGTGTTTCCAGTTTTAACAAGCGCTCAGCGTATCAACGCCAAATTCTGAATAGATGTAGAGAATTGAATAGCGGATCGTTCTGTGCCAATAATTTAGCTGTGTGCTGTAAGGTCACTGACCCGCAACAGGCCAAAGTCAGGTCATGGATTCAGCGATGTCAACTGCCACGGAATTGTTCAATCTGACGCAACAGGAGAGTGTTAGATGAATCTAAACATCCCTGAGATATTTTGTCAGTAAAAAAAAAACAGTACAAAATAAACAAAGTCCGCTGACCTAGGTTCAGTTACGAAGGTCAGACCTAGGTCAAACCAGCCTGTTTTATTACCTTAGGGCTTGCTGTAGGGGTAGTTTCTGGTGTTTATTTTGAATTTACTGGTAACAGGAACCACATTACACATCTTCCATTTACTCTTAAAGGTCAGAATAGGTCACTGACCTAAAATGACCCAGGTCAACATTTCATTTTTAGGAACATACTGCCCGGAGAAATCTTTGTCGCTTATTTAAATGAAAAATTAAAAGCAGGCTTGTATGATTTTGGTCACCACGGCCTTCATAACCTCAAATAAGAGGTTGTGAACCTCTGAAGGTCAAAACCTCGCTGACCTTAAATGAGCATGAAGCATTTTGCTTAGAACAGGTACCTGTCGTCTGGGGTCACTTTTGAGATCAGCCTGGCGTTTGTCCTTGCTCGACCCTATTTAACCCGAAGATTATGCCCTAGCAACCTCAGACTTTAACCTAAGTATGTTCACATACAGGCCAACACACCGAATTTTGTGTCTCTAGCTCTCTTAGTTTCTGAGATCTCAGGGGGTCAAATCGACCCCCACCTGAGCGAAGAGTATCCAACCGGCCACCCGGGTGTGTGTTAAGCCAATGGAGCAGCGTCGCATACGCTAACGATGCCCTGCCGGTCGGACCCGGTCAAAAACGAGGTGCAATGATGCACCTTTGCTGGCCCAGCCGTACGCCAGAGGTCGTGTAGCCAGCTGGCGCCGTCGCCGAGCCGCAGTTCTATTTGGGTCTGTCATACGGACAGACCAAGGGACGAAAATAGAAAGGTTCAGAATATAAAGAGAAAAAATATTTAAAAAGAAAATGCAAAATAACATAACTACGATACTAATTATAAAAGGAAACGAAACACGTTCAGAAAAGACGGACATAAAAAGCTTCAAATGTAAGGAATGCATCGCAGAACCATTTTCAGTCTTAGCTATCCATCATTCTTAGTTGCTGTTCGAATGATGTGGTAAAAGCTAGATAACAGTTATTTATGAGGACCTAAAAATATTATTCGAAATGTGCATGCTGTTAGCGTGAAAGCAAGAGCGCTTTGGGAACACTTTCAAGATTTCAGTGTTTGTTTGTTTCAAATATTCGAACACTGATTTCGGTGTTGAAATATTCGCCGAAGTTCAATATTCGTTGGGACACTCACATGCTCTGAAACTGAATGTTCAGTTCTACCAGCCACTGCACCATTCCAATTTGTACAGCCAGCCAGCCAGTGAGCGAACATTCCATGTCACCATCCCCCACGCCGCCATTTATTAAAACCTGACCCGTGGGCACCTCTTTTGACCTTCGCCGTTTCGACGTAATGACCTTTTGGTACGTCGCCATTTTGTAGTTCACCATTTAGCCGTTTGCTTATTTGTCATGGCGTGTTTCACGTGTGCTATAGTGCCAGTAGTGATGCATGCTGTAGGGAAATGAGGGACACTTTCCTGAAGCACGGACTATGCTGAAAGCCTTCTGGTCGCCACGGATAGACATGAATACGGCATGTCTCGAGATGTATTGTCGCTCATAGGCGCAGCTACAGACGTCCAGCACCGAAGAGGTAATATAGATGCTACTACACCTTCAACTCAGTTACACTCCCACACGCTTCACACCGAAGCTGAAGGTGCCGCGGCAGACCGACGAACCCGTCGCGAATACGTTGCCGAGCTGTAAGCGAGGTTCGAACGAATACAATGGAAACCAGAACCGGACAAATGTGTTGTACGTGCCGCAGATAACCCTGCACTAGCGACAACGAATTTACACGGTCACACTCATCCCGCAAGATTACGAGCATTATTGCATCATCATCATCATCATCATCACCACAATTAACAAAATATGTTATGTGGTATGGTGAGCGATTTATGTTGCCGGCCGATAGTGCCTCGACAGTAACACCGTATGCGCATGGTTGCACATCTCTGCATGAAAAAAGCATTTCAACTTGAACGCCGTAATTCCGCACGCCGCCGCCGCCGCCGTCCCGCCGGGCTTGAGTGCGACATTTTTGGGCGTCGGCCGAATGGAATGGAATCGCTCATCGGACAGTTGTGTTTTACTGGCGACCGGTACCCTATACGAGCGCTGTTAAATACACAGTCGCTCTGTTCGAATGGAATTGCAAACATTTTCCCGGGTCACCATATTCTGGCCGTCACATCACGTTCAACGTCCGCAACAGGTAGCGACGCGCCTTAAAATGCTCCAAGTCGCGCGCGACGGGTGAGATAACGTGCGCACGATGCCATGATAGGAGCGCTAACGGCTGACAACGTAAAACGCGCACTCGCCAACATGACCTTTTCGTTAAAATCACATCTTCATCGCTCTTTTTCCAATCTTGACAGCGCGTTGCTAACTGCGACCGGCCGGCAGCGACCACCACTGGACAGCGTGTCCGGCGTACGGCGGCCTGGAAAAAGGGCTGATGAACGCGCGCAGAGATCGCGATAGCGCCGCTGCTAGCGACTATCACTGGGCAGTACAACGCGCTTGTCCGACGACGGAACCCATTTAATTCGGTCGGCCGACGACAGCGTCTCACTCAATGCCAGTGGGCCGGCCACAACGGCAAACTTACGGCGTCTAATTCAAAAGGTCTCTAGTCGTGCCCAGGAGGTGGGACCATCTCCACACGATGTCGTTGTGGGATGGCCCCCGGCCGGTAAAGTAAACTGCCCATGGGCCGTAATGACCTATTTGCATAATTCACCCTTGAAAACGCATGACGCCCTCGCGGCGGGTCAGCTAGATACCTCAGTAAACACTAGATCATGCATCGTATTCATCAGAGCGCTAACCCATAAGTACACAAGGAGGTAGGAGTCCCGCAGCGCCCCACAAAGTAAGCAACGAACAGCAGTAACGCTTGCATAGTATTGGCTTTGTATCATCATCACCCAAACGCAATACATGGAAAATGGCGACGTCTTCTAAAAGTGGCAGACAAGTCCTATAAGCTCGCCAAGATCATAATTTCTGAATCCGAAGCGGCGTCCGCTTACGGGATGTGTTCATTAGAATCCCGCTCCTTCAAAAATCGAGGGGTAATCCTCCGCAGACCAACTGCTGCAGCCTTCAGCGGCGAACGACGCCGGACAAGCCCTGACGCTCGGGAGGCGACAGGAGCCGACAGTCCAGCTGCCTGTTTGCCTCTCAGCACTCGGTCGCCCTGTGCGCCTTGAGCGTCTTCTTAAAGCGGAACATCTCGCCGCAAGTCCGGCAACCGAACCTCTTCTTTGCCGCATGCACGCGGCCATGAACGGCCAGTGTGCCGCGGCTTTTGAACTTCTTCCCGCACGCGTCGCAGCCGAAGAGCCTGTCGCCGACGTGCGTGAGCACGTGGTTGGCCAGGTGGTCACGCCGGCCAAACGTCTTGTCACACGTCTCGCAGCTGAAGGGCTTCACGCTCGCATGCGAGTGCATGTGCGCGGTCAGGTGGTCACGGCGGATGTACGTCTTGCCGCACGTATCGCAGCCCAGTGGCTTCTGGTCCACGTGTGTCCACGCGTGCAGTAAAAGCGCCGCTTTCCTGCCGAAGGACTTGCTGCACACGGCGCAATCGAAAAGCTTCCTGCCCGTGTGCGTGCGCGCGTGCAGGGTCATGGTGCACTTCTGACTGAAGCGCAGGCCACAGAGCTCGCACGCGTACGGTTTGCCCGTGTGGATACGCATGTGCAAGGTCAGACTGGCCTGTGCCTTGAAGGCCTTGTCGCAGTGTGAACAGGCGAACGGACTTTCGTCGGAATGCTTCCGCGTGTGCACCGTCAGGTACGACTTGGACTTGAACGACTTGTCGCACAGCGTGCAGGCGAACCGACGGACCACTGAGTGCGACTCCAGGTGTAGCCGAAGCTGCCCCCGCCGGAGGAAGGTCTTGCCGCACAGCTGACACGGATGCCTCGGTCCAGCGCTGCGTCTCTCCGACCCTGCCGTCCCGCCCCAGTTCGAGCCGCCGGCCGCCTGGGTCTCCTGGGCGGTCTCCTGGTCTCCGCGGTCTGCTCTGCAGTGGCACTCGACATCAGGCGGGCACAGGCACTTGGAGGCGGTCGTCACACGCTGGCGCTGGTGGTCGCTGCTGACGTGGAGGTCAAGGTCGTCCCGATTCGAGCAACTGAAGCTACAGAGGGCGCAGTTGAGCGCGGGGGCCGCTGGAACACGAGGGCGCAGTTGAGCGCGGGGGCCACTGGAACACGAGGGCGCAGTTGAGCGCGGGGGCCGCTGGAACACGGGGGCGCAGTTGAGCGCGGGGTCCGCTGGAACACGAGGCATGCCGCTGGAGATCGCAGTGGCATGACATACATCTTTCTGCCTGTCTGTCCGTCTGTCACACGGACAGACAGACAGACAGACAGACAGACAGACAGACATACTGACCGGCTGACTTCGCAAACTGCGTGCATACACCCGGTCATTTTCAAGGAGATTAACATCCAGCGGTCTGCGGAAACGGGACTCACGGCGAACAGACATCTATGGGACGTTTGTTAATGACTCTTACTAAAATGTCGCCATGTACGATATCCGTGGGCATGTACATCAGGGTTGCGTTGCACACCCAGTTCCTGCGTATGCCCCGTTCCCATTACAAGGCGCATAAATTGAGGGATTTCAAGACCCGTTTCAAATTATGCGTATAACAGTGATTTTCATGAGCACAGTTTGCACATCATCATGAATAATGCAACGCGCAATATGACACCAAGGATTAAAACATACCCCATTCGGGCTCTTCTTCTACTTTGATATTTAACTCCGCAGCGGTGGTCAGAGGAACTTCTTCTTCGCCTTCGCCTTCGCCTTCGCCTTCTTCTGACTTCGTCACGCAAAAGTCCAATTCCCTTCCTGAAATGGAGTGCATGATGTTGGCCAGCTGGCAACTACAGACTCCATTCCAATCAGAGGGTGGCAGTCAATTCCACATACAGCTAACACATGCACAGCCAACAACCACAACATTGCGTGGCTACTCGCTGGATCGTGACGGGGAGTGAAAAGAACTAACCCGAATGATCTGTTCTCATTTCATCCGGATCTTTCGAGTGAATGGAACTCTGGGATCAGAGTTCATGCTTGACAAGGTTTGCCGCGTCAGCTCTGACATTCCATTCGATCGCGACATTCCAGGTCAACGGCAGAATTTGGTGGCGACAGTTTAACGTGACGGACGCGACGCTCGGCACGTCCGCCTTGACCTCTGCCGTCACCTGACCTCTCGCGCAGCCTCTGCGACTGGCCGCCGGCCAGTCGTAGCGACTGCGCGAGGATAAACAGTGAGCCTGTCAAGGATAAACAGTGAGCCCCTAAAGCAACGCGAGCCCACACCGCCACGTGAGTAAATCGGCAGGCAGGCGCACTAAACGAGTGAACTACCGGGACAGATATCTTTCACGCTTGCTTGTCCAGGGAACGGTTTTCTATGGCTTCAGCCGTAAGCGCGCTGCCAATGCGTCCAGAAACGCGAACAAAATGACACCAACTGTACGTACCGTCCTCAGCCGCCACGCTCGACAACGACGATGTTGAAGAGCCTGCGGTCACGCCTCCCTCAAACGCCGATACATCGGGGGTCGGTGTAATGTTCGGACCGTCGTCTAAAACAAACGCAGACACATAGGGGGTCGGCGTGATTTTCGGACCGTCGTCTAAAACAAACGCAGACACATCGGGGGTCGGTGTGATGTTCGGACCGTCGACCACAACACAGTCGTTGTTTTTAACACGCGGACCCAGCCACGCACGAACTCCATCGATCTTCAGAGGTGAGTGTTTGAACATGAAATAGTGAAGCGCACGTACCAAACGCAGCTTAGCATCAGTGCAGATTCACACGCACATGGCAACAGGGTACGATGCTAGCACTCACCTGGGAGTATGTAGCGGGGTAGAATGTCTTCGTTTTCATGTTCATCAGCATGCTCCTCGCACTTCACCTGAGCGCTTCCGCGACTGAAAACTGCAACACCAGGGAAACACACGTTACGTCGTGTATGGTTACACGGCTGTGAGTCAGTTAACAACGCTCCACGCGAATTGCTTCGATGCGAATGTCACAGAAGTGGACAAATGGTATTTGAACCAGCCTTGTCACATGTAAAAAAGCATGTCTGGAAATGCTAACACAAAATTAATGTTTCACGCTTCACTTCTCGCGCAGTGCTCAAGTACATTCTTGTTGAAAAGAGAGTGACTATCACGCTTGCTTAGGAACCAGTCTTGATTTTGAGAGGTGATCGCCCGGTGTTTCGTAAACTCGTGTCGTAAATAACCGTAGAGCATACACTTCCTGCTGCCAAATGTTGAAGGATTGAGGCATGCTCTGTACCACGTACTATAACTTCTTTTGTGCCTGTAAAAGAAGACGGCGTCATTTTCAGTGCTTCGGCAGATGCGTCATATTTTCAGCCAGTCGAAGGAACACCTTCCCGAAGCTCCTTATCACCATCTACTCAGTACGGTATCTATGGTGACAAGTTTTGCTATGTTTGTGTCTCTTCCCGTCTGTGTGACACAATTTGTCTTAGGCTGTGACTGGTGACTATCTTAGGCATTTAGCTAGGCTATTTAGGCTATCTTAGGCACTGGTGCGCCTAGCTTCCTATATCTCGCTGTCGTTCGTGTACACCAGAGCCAAAATATGTCCAATTTCTGATGCATGATCATTTGATGTTCTCGTGTGAGCAGGTGGGTTCGGAAATGACATCATGCAGTTCATTTTTGCTTCCATGCTTACCAGCTGCTTTCAGGCTTACCAGCTGCCGCTCTTCTCCTTGAAGTGAACCAATGTTCAGTGATACCTAACATCACCTCGCATGTTAACTTTCACAACAATCGCGATGCCCGAGCATACGTGCAGCTTCCTCAGCTTCTGGGGCGGCCGCTCTCTGCAGCTTCATGTTTTCTCCGAGCAACGGAGCCCCGAATTCCTCTTTTCAAGTAAAATGGAAGACTGGTAACTGCCGCGCTCCACAACCCGGCTCCGCGTCTGGCCGCTTGCGAACATGAACGAATAAATTACGGATGCTTACCCACAGGTCACCGGCAAAGCCAACAACGTAGGCTTGGAATTCGTGGGTTGGATGCATGCATGCGACTTTTAAGCTCATACAAGCAGTGAGCATGCTCCGCCGCGGAGGGGAGGGGGCAGGGGGGGGGGAGGGTTCTCATGCCGCGATTTCAGACATTGCATCTGAGCCGCGATTTCAGACATTGCATCAGAGCCGCGATTTCAGACACTGCATCTGAGCCGCGAGCCACGCCGGGCTCTACCGGATGGTATTCCGTACCGCTCTTCCGGCTCCACTGGAAGATCTACTGTACCATTCTACCGGTTCCACCGAACGGTCTTCTGCACCGCTCTAACGGCTATACCGGACGGTCTACTGGACCGCTATACCGGCTCTACCTGACGGTCTACTGTGCCGCTCTACCAGCTATACCCGACGGTCTTTCTGTACCGCTGGACCGGCTCTACTGGACGGTCTTCTGTGTCGCTCTAGCCGCTCCACCGGACGGTCTACTGGACCGCTATACCGACTCTACCCGACGGTCTGTTGTACCGCTCTACCAACTATACCCGACGGTCTTCTGAATGACCCTACCGGCTCTACCGGTCTACTGCACCGCTCTATCGGCTATATGCCGCCCTACCGGTTCTGCCCGACGGTCTCTGCCGGCTGCTGAGGGCGCTGCCGACCGCTTGCACGGTCGCTCTGTGCTCTGCGCTCTTTTTTTCCTTTTTTTTAGAAATTTGATCCGAACCCTTTGAATGGATGGATTTCTGGGATCAGCGCTCACGCTAAGCAGTGCTTATTGTGTGAGCCCTGACCCCTACCATCCGATCGCGCAATTCCAGGCAACGGCAGAATTTAGTGGCGAAAGCTTAACGTGCCGCAATGCTCGGCGCGGTCAGTCCTGCCCTCTGACGTCAACTGACCTTTAGTGCGACCGCTGCCACCGGCCGCAGGCCATACCTGTCAAGGACAAATAGCGAGCGCCTAAAGCGACTCGAACCCACCCCGCCACGGGTGGGTGAATCGGGAGGCAGGCGCTCTAACCAACTGAGCCACCGGGACGGACGCTCTGGCTAGAGCTCTGGCTTGACCTTTGAGCTCCCTTCACATTCCACCCGGTGTGCTCTCCGGTGGTCACTGAGCACGCTCCAGTGCACGATTTCGCTCCGTATGATTCGCTAAGCAAAACTGCCGAACCACCTCAAGAGGATGTTACAGAAGCGAGTGTACCTCAACGAGCGCGCGGAGCGTGACGACCGCTGACACAACGGCTTGCGAAGGGCACTGCTCGCCTCATCTGGCTCAACTGGGTGCGTTCGTGTCAACTAGCAGGTCATTTACTGGTGGTGTCCCGAGCGGCTCCGCCTGCGAGCCGAAGGGCGTGATTTTGGACGGTCTCAAGGGGGTGAAGGTGAGAGGTAGATATATCATCCAACAGAAATGACGGCAATCCAAGATTAATATAATCGGTGAAGTGGAAAGAGTTGCGAGATTGCGTCGATCAGTACAACAATTACACCCTGCGATGAGTATATTGCATGCCCTGAATGCATTGCATTGCAATGAAAGGCACCACGTCTGCGTGAGCTGCGCTGTCGATGGTTTGCAATATTGACATGAAAGGTGAGATGGCGGTCTGAAGTAGCCTCAAACTATTGGAAATGAGGGGCAATCGGAACGTTTTGATCGTTGACGTTCGAGGAAACAGCAACAATGTGACGACGTCAATCAGAAAACATCACAGCGGTTGGTTTTGCAGGGAAAAATGTCAGCCCCGCGCGCCACGCAATGTTCGAATCTGATATGGAGCTTGTCGATCTAATTCATTCGCGCCACCGACGCCGGGGTACGTGCACCACACAGCGAGATCGTCAGCGACGTTAGATGTGTGAAGTGTTGGGAAATGTCATAGTGCAGAGCGCTAAACAAAAAAGTTCGAACGGTCCAAATCGGGCTGGGAAAACGCTTAACAGTTAACTGTGTTAACTGTGTTAACTTAAACAGTTAACAGTTAACTGTGTTAACAGTTAACTGTGTTAACTGTGTTAACTTAAACAGTTAACAGTTAACTGTGTTAACTGTGTTAACTGTGTTAAACTTAACAGTTAACTGTGTTAACTGTGTTAATCCGTTAACTGTTAACGGACTAACACTCACCCTGATATGGTGGGAGCGGTGAACGACGCCCCTCCTTCAAGGTTTTCCGAGACATCTCTCCAGCATGCCACGTAATCGCGCCCAAATTATCGGTAGCCTATGACGCATTAATCGCGCGTGTTTTGACACCACAGATGTGCTGCTAAGCTTCTGGTTTCCGAGTGCGCGGAAACCAGAAGCTTGGCAGCTATGCTTCAAAAGGCTAAGCTTTTTTGAGGAACACGACACGGCGATCCACGGCCGCCGGGCGGCAGCTGACGGAGGTCCGCCAGGCGCGCGGCGAATTCGCCGATCTCGCGGCGAATTCGTCGATCGCGCGGCGAATTCGGCTGCCGCCCGCCAATTCGCCCGATTGACGGCGCGATTCGTCGTCAGCGCGGCGGTCTGGCGCTGCCATATTGATGGACCCTGCATCATAAATGTGTACTCAAGACACGACGACTACGTATCAGTGTACTCTAGTTTGCCAAGGAGCACGTTTGTGTAAATCTAATGTTGCCACATAGCGTGGTTTCGTCAATGCTGGCATGTAAAGCTGAAAAGTGCGAATTTTAGGAAAATTTTTATCTGACCTGGCATAATGGGGTCATTACTGGCCTAGCCATGCAAGGTTCATCACTAATCACGACATTTCATTGAGGCCAATCCACTGGTCTTTTTCGCAAGCCTTTATATTCCTACACGTTGGAAACGGCATGGGGTTGCACCAAACCGGCCTTGCGTTATGAAAAAGAGCGAATCAGGGGAAAGATTAACTATAATTTCCATTAGGTTATTCAGCGAGTAAAAATTAACTCCATTAGTTCAACAGCCTAGTGAACGGATTATTTTTAACTGAAGATGAAAGACCCCAGTACAACGGCGCGTCCTGTTGGCCGCGGCCTAAGCGAAACTATAGACATTTCTCAACCTGCAAGATACCACCTAATACTCGTATAATTCTCTATGCAAAAATTATCAAGCGACTTGCAAACAAACATATCCCGGATGCAACTGCATTCCCCGCTACGCCAACATCGCAGCGTGGGAGAAACTAAACGACCGACCGAACCTGTTGGCAACCCATGCTCCGAGCCCATGGCAACAATCGACGTGAAACCTCCACTATTCGATGCTGCTTGGTCGATAACCTACGCCGTCGAGAACACGGCAATCCTGGGTCGGGTCAACGGTCACCACATCTATCAAAAACCGGAAAAATTGGTTTGCAGACAACCCCTTGCCCCGTGTCTATGTAACTGATCGGCATGAACTTTTCACCGAACGATACGCCATAGTCGGTATCCTATCGTTTTCAGAGTATGGCGACCTTGGGTCAGGTAAAAGGTCACCAAAAACGGCCAAAACTACTCGCAATTAGTTTGCAAGCAATCCCATGCTCCGGGCCTATGGGAGAGACCAGCATGAAATCTTCACTAACCGATGGACCATGGTAATTATCTTTTCCTTACCAGAATATGGTCACCTTAAGTGAGGTCGTCACCCCCTCCCCCCCAAAAAAACGCCCAAAACCATCCCAACTGGCCGCAGATAATCGCATGCTCCGAGCCGATGGGACCAATCGCTCGTAGAAAAGAAAGACTGTGTGGACTGTATAGGAAAGATTAAATATATTATGGCGCACCAATTCGGGAAGGTTTCCTGCTGATCGATCCCATAGGCTGGGAGTATGGGGCTGTCTGCAATATATTTTTCCAGGTTTTGGTATCATGATGACCCTGACCTGACCCGAGATCTGAACTGAACATCTGAGATCTGAGCTGAACATTATGTTCTGCAAAAGACAGGTCATGAACCAAGCAGCATCGAATGGGGAGGAATTCTTGTTGATCGGTGTCATAGGACTGTAGCATGGAGTATCGACAGGTTTGGTCGGCCATTTAGTCCCCCCCCCCCTTACGGCGCACCCATGCGCTGCAACAGCCATGTGATGGGACGTGTAAAATTTGCCATCGGCCTCATGGGTGCAAGTCACGTCATCATTCTTAACACGGGACTGATGCAGCGGAGCAATATGTGTTTCCGAAAGTGGCACATCGGTGAACAACATACCCAGCTATGTCACGCCCTAAACGCGACGCAAGGGCAAGAGCTTGATGGTCGTCACCTACTTCACCTACACCTACTTACTTACTACTTACTTACTAGGTCACCTACTTACTGGCATCCATAGTTGGTTTTCAAAAGTTCAACGTCCTGCTTCAATAGAATACCACAATGATTTGAATGTTGCAGTCCTGCAGGCCACCAAACCACGCGGAAGTCCTCAACGTACTACTACACGTTTTATTTGCGCCTCATAGCTGTCTTTCCACCCCCAACGTCATGTCAAAATAAGCCATCGGGCTTGAGGTCAATGATGGGTACAAAAAAACTAGTAACATACAGAAAATTTGGCATGAAACTACCGAAACCCAAATTATAATGTTTGTCAAAGCTCATGAGGCAGTACTTGTTTCGTAGACATGCTGATAAATTATGTGCTTGCAGTCATATTTTTATGTTATTAAGGAGTATTGCATTTTAAGCACATTTGGTTGTAGCCCATGTATTATCATATTATGTGCCATGCTTGAAAACCCCCAGTATTTTTGGAACATTGGTCTGCACTGCCCCACGAAAATCTTTGTGCCCCAAGTTTGAATGTTTGGGCTTTGCTGCAGTTAGAAGACAAAGCACTCCTACACTGCACATTGTGGGCACCACAGGGTACATCGAGCTGGCCGACATTTGTTTGCATTTTTTAACATTTGCTACCTGCATTTGCTCATCAAAAGCTTTGTATGCTGAATTTCTAAGATTGCACTATATATGCTGCAGTTGTAAGGCAATGTTTTCTACTAAAGTGAACATTCTGGGGGTTTAGATGTGCATCGATCCATCAAGCATTTATTGCATGGCATGCCAGCTAAGGTCTTCTCAGCAGACAATTAGCATAGGAAGACTATCCCAGGTCATCATGCCATGATACAGCTGTCCTCTGAGATGGGCCATCTTTTTGTGAATGTGTATGTGAAATGATGGATGTGGCTGGTTGGATTGTTTTTGCTGTTGCTTGCCTTGATTTTGAGCATACTGAAGCCTGAAATGATGCCTTTCATTTTGCTCTGAAATCCATGTGAACAATTAGTATTGTGAAAGAAATTGATTGCTAATTGGTGCAGGTATTTTGTAACCAATCCTCCCCAGAGAGGGTGGCAATGAATAAGTCAGCGATTTCATTGCAATACAGACACTTCATATGCATTGTACTTCAGATGATGTCTATGTTTATGTGTTTACATGAACTACTGTGGTTCATTATGGACCAGGTGCTGTATCCATAATTTTGAAGTGCCAGTTCTGGCACTGTCCAGCAACAGGAGCACTGTGTGAGCTCACCCTCATGGCAGTGTCAGCTGAGAGCTGACTGAAGAGAGTCAACCGGGTTAGGGCAAACATTTTGAAGTGTTTTCAACCTTGTTAAAAACATTTGGTCATGCCACTCAAAGGTGTTACAAGAAATCTGTATGGTAGACATTTTACAGCTGAATTCTGATATAGCCATATGACCAATGCGGTTGGTGCGCCCCAAAGCCCAAATCATCATCATCCTCGTACTGATTTAATTATATGTTTAACACACTGGTCTCTTTAACCCCAAGCAGTACATGGATGGAGGCAATTTTGGAGGGCCAAAGAAAAATATTGTTTGCTATTTATGACATCTTCTATTTGTCTTTTGCTAAAATATTTAGCTAGTTAAGGGTATCATAGGCCTTCAAGGACATCAATTCAGAAGGAGTTTGTGAAGAAGGTGGGGAAATGCCCAAAGGTACTGCCATTGAATGCCATGCAGATGACTTATACCTGATTGCTGACACTAAATGGTCTGGTAGGCCAGGACAAATTGTTGGGTTAATGGTCCTGAGATTATGGATATGGGTTTGACCATGTAGTAAGCATAATTGAGAAGTATTTCACGGACATGTTATAGCTTGACGTCATTTTGTTGTCCCCAAATGTGCGTGGTCATATCAACATCCTCATCATCATCATCATCGGATTTAGTAAGCATAATTGAAAAGTATTTCACAGACACGTTATAGCTTGACGTCATTTTGTTGTCCCCAAATGTGCGTGGTCATATCAACATCCTCATCATCGGATCGGAGTTGTACCAGGCAATCCCCAGGTGGTCATGTCAGACCCCAACATATCGGCACTCTCACATGACCGTTTGCAGACCTCACTGACCCGTGATAGGTCATGGGTGACAGCTACTCTGCCTTGTGGTCAAAGCGGCTTCGTTTCGCTTCTGGCCCTCGCTGATGTTCGGTTCTTGTGCCAGGTCGGCCTCGAAATTATCTCATGTTTTCACCCGCGGAAATGTGAGGTCTCTTCGTTTTCCCCCGCCACGAGGGATGCGCCCTAGCTTGAGGTTATATCGCGACCGAGGTGATTGCTCGTTGGCTGGTGAGGTGCTTTGCGTAATGGACCCTTCGGTGGCCCGAGATCGATCCTTGTCTGCTTTCACGGTCGGGTTACTGGGCGCGAAGCCGGGACGCGGATCCATGACCACGGTTTGGCGGCGTCTTGTCTTCAGATGGCACTGCCTATCAATGTCTTTTGCGGATAGATGGCATTACTAGTCTGCAGTTGAGTTTCCTCTGCAGGGTTGGGTTGCGTACTGGTGTCCTTAAAGAAAAAGCATGCTTGACATTTATTCTAAGCACAAAGCTCACATGCCTTGTGTTCGAGACCAGGTACACAAGGTGTTAAAGGGAGTGTGTGTAGTGTTTTTGGTTTTCCGAATACACGCTTAAGGGGAGTCTTGGAACTATCTACGGTTAATTTTGGTGCTTAAATGCGCGTTTGGGTCTTGCAGCAGTTCTTGTTTATTTATTTTTATCGGTCGCATCGATGGCTGTGCGTGAACAAACACATTACTAAAAAATGAACCAATCAGCTGTCAGGAAAGGGCGAATTCCCTAGCTCATTTGTGGCAAGTAACTGCGCGCTAGTGAGACGGCCATTATCTTGGTTGCCGCGGTCTCGCGCGTATAGGGAAGGCGCTAGCGGTATAGAGCGGTGCGTGCTTGTAGATCCCTTGCGTAAATGGAGGCGGGAAAAATATACCCTGAACATGCCTGGTGTACCAGCGACATCGCAGCAACAATTTCAGCGCATGCGCCTTGTTATTTCGAACGCTGAACTCGGTGCACGTGCGTTCGGAATTTGGTCATTAATATCAGGGTATAGGAATCTTAGCCGCCTACAGCCGCTGCCAAAACATCTTAGAATAATCACATTTTCAAAGAGCCTAGTGCAGCCGACTGACGCGACGCAGTACTTGTGCCTCATCTCAGTATAAAATAGGTCAACATGGATGAATCGCGGTGCGTATCAACTGACTAGCCTTGTCATTCGGCCAACCCCGTACACCCACAACCCTCAGCCCAATGTACACAAAAAGACAACATGATAGCCCACCAACGCTGCGTTCGCAAGCCTTTGTCAGCACTGACAAGCGACATCCTCGAAAAACCATTGGCTAGAGTTAACGACACCTCCTTAATGATGTCGATGTGTTTAGTAGTGAATATTGCATGGGAGCTACGCGACAACTTCGTTTTCCATACGAACCAAAGAACACGTGGGGGGGGGGGGGATGTGGCAATGTCTCGTCAGTGGAGGCGAATTGGTAGAAACCAATGATACCAAAAAATTTTAATCGAAATTCCCTTCCACCCCACGTTGCACAGTTCAAAATCTCAACTTGACTAGACACTCCCTTTGAGCTTGTAACGGCAAAAGTTGGTGCTGGAAGAAGCTCCTATACATTAAGACATGGTGAAATATTCGCCGTGAAATGTTCGTACCGAGAACGTAGGTACGCGTAAAATTTCTATGAAAAAGGTCGTAAGCAAATGTTTGTACGCAAATGTTCGGGCGTTAATGTGATCACCGATAAAGTTCTTTTGATAAAAGTATGTAATCAAAGGTCCGTATTCCGAGGTATGATGTAAGCACCCAAAGTTTCAGCGGCAATGTCAGTTTGAGATTGATTTCGCTCGACAAAAGTATTTACGTTAAACTTCGGATGCAGATGTGCGCCGCTCATTAGAATGCAGCTTTTCATCCTTTGTCTCGGACATCGGGTGAAGTATCATTTTGGGTGTCGCCATATGCAGTGCAGCGGATGGCGGTGGACAGCGGCAGTGCTGTATGCCAGGTTCAATGCTATGACAAGCGCAACTCTACCTGACATTAAAGTAAACGTCAAACCGATCGCTTACAGAATTGCGTCAGTCCAGTGTTATAACAAGCGCAACTCTCCTGACATTAAAGTAAACGTCAACCCGGTCGATGACAGTCAGTCACCCCATGTGTCAGTCCAATGACATGTGTCAAAACAGACATGTGTCAGTCCAATGTTGTAACAACCGCAGCTCTCCCTGGATAAAAGTAGACGTCAACCCGATCGATAACAGAATTGCGTCAGTCCAATGTTATAACGAGGGCAACTCTCCATGACATGAAAGTAAACGTTAGCTCGATCGATGACAGAATTGCGTCAGTTCAATGCTATAACAAGCGGAGCTCTCCCTGAATGAAAGTAGACGTCAACCCAGTCGATGATAGAACTGCGTCAGTCCAATGTTATAATAAGCGCAACTCTCCATGACTCTCCATGACATGACTCTCCATGACTCCATGAAAGTAAACGTCAACCCGATTGATGATGGAATTGCGTCAGTCCAATGTTATAACAAGCGCAGCTCTCCCTGGATGAAAGTAGACGTCAACCCAATCGATGATAAAATTGCGTCAGTCCAATGTTATAACAAGTGCAACTCTCCATGACATGAAAGTAAACGTCAGCCTGATCGATGACAGAATTGCGTCAGCCCAATGTTATAACAAGTGCAACTCTCCCTGGATGAAAGTAAACGTCAACCCGATCGATGACAGAATTGCGAAATAACCGCGGGGCAGAAGGAACCAGAGGTTAAAAAATATGAAAGTTTCCAAAGCGGGTCATCCGCCGCATTTGTTGTGTTGCGACTTTCTCGCTTAAAATGTACTTTAAAGCATCTCCCCTCTGTTGACGACACCTCTTTCGGTGTCCTGCCCCGCCTGATGCATCTCGAGCGCGCCTCTGGTTCAGCTGACGGCCGCGGCGTGAGCCGGCGTGCGTGTGGCGTACGGCGGGCAGGCGCGCCTCTGGTTCAGCTGACGGCCGCGGCGTGAGCCGGCGTGCGTGTGGCGTACGGCGGGCAGCCGCGCCTCTGGTTCAGTTGACGGCCGCGGCGTG